TTATTAGGTCCCCTCTCAGCCTTCTCTTCTCCAGGCTAAACAAGCCCAGCTCCCTCAGCCTTTCCTTGCAGGAGAGATGCTCCAGTCCCCCCATCATCCTCGTAGCCCTCCGCTGGACTCTCTCCAGTAGCTCTTCATCTTTCTTGAACTGGGGAGCCCAGAACTGGACACAGTACTGCAGATGGGGCCTCACTAGGGCAGTGTAGAGGGGAAGGAGAACCTCCTTCTAATGCATCCCAAAGTTCAGGTGTTCCTGTGGTCCCGACTGGGATCACGAAGCGGGGCGCTGGCTGGGAGGTCGCTTCCTGTCTCCGGTCCCCGGTTACTCGGGGGGGTTATTTCCTCCCCCCCCACCCCACGCTTCTCACAGGGTTTGTCACTGCAGCCCCTTGCAGCCTTTACACGGCCTTTGCACGGTTTGCACGGGGTTTGCACAGCCTTTACATGGTCTATGCACGGTTCACACAGGGTTTGCACAGCCTTTACACAGCATTTGCGTGGGTCGTACGGGGCTTGCCCAGCCTTGCGCTCGCACGGCTTGTGCAGCCTTTACACGGCCTTTGCACGGTTTGCACGGGGTTTGCACAGCCTTTACATGGTCTATGCACGGTTCACACAGGGTTTGCACAGCCTTTACACAGCATTTGCGTGGGTCGTACGGGGCTTGCACAGCCTTTTCACAGTGCTTGCACGGCTTGCACAGCCTTTACACAGCCTTTGCACAGTTCACACAGGATTTGCACAGCCTTTACACAGCATTTGCGTGGGTCGTACGGGGCTTGCACAGCCTTTTCACAGTGCTTGCACGGCTTGCACAGCATTTACATGGCCTTTGCACAGTTCACACGGGGTTTGCACAGCCTTTGCACGGCGCTGGCACCGTTCTCCCAGCACTTGCACGCTTTGCATGGGGGCTGGCACGGTGCCGTTGGCACCACCAGCCCGGCTGGAGCGGGAGGCAGAGGAAGGGCCAGCAGAGGAAGGCTTCGTTAAGTGTTTTTCTTCTGTCAGCCCATTACTAAAACCAGGCTGACGCTGGTGAGATGCTACAGGTTGCTTTAAAACAGCATCTGACAAGTCCTTCCACCCCTCGGCACCCCGCTTTCTCCCGGGCAAGGTGCTGGGACCCCGACTGGGTGCCCTCACAGCATTGGGGCAGGCAGCAGCAAGGCCAAGCGTTGGGGTGGCCCTTCCCGAGGATGAGGTGGCCCTTCCTAAGGATGAGAAGGCTGAAAGACCCTGTCCTGGCCTGTACCTCCCAGTCCCACCGCCAGCCCTGTGCCCGGGACTGGGACCCCTGCTCCCCTGGTGCCCCCGCCGTGGGGTACAGCAGCGCTCCCTTCCCCGTAGGGGACCAAACAGTCAGTGGAAAGACGGAAGGATGCACCGGTGAGAGGGGAAGGACCGCCCAGCTTCGGAAAATGGGCGGACGGGTCGATCTGTAAACCTCTGTGCCTCTTGCAGCCCCTTCTGGAGCCTCTGCCTGGGTTCCTCTCGCACAGCCAGTGTCATGGGAAACCGTGGAAGGTGCAGAACCGGTGAGCGGAGGCCCTGCCCCGGGCTGCCCGGGTCTGCAGGTCCTGCCGCCTGTTCGGTCGTGCGTACCTGCCCCGCGTGAGGAACCCCAGGCTTCGCCAAATTCCTACCAGTTGGAAACGTCACTGCGTCTTTTGAAAATTAAAATTATATCGATGCAACAGATAGGCTGTGCCCCCTGTTTTTTTCTTTTTCCCCGACTTTTTCATCCCCAGCCCAGTCCTCTTGTCAGCCCCCAGTGTGGGCAGCAGGGCCAAATCCCCAGCGCAGCCGAGCGATGGGTGCCTCTGCGGCAGTTC